AGCAATTCTCCTGCCTCAGCCTCCTGAGTAGCTGAGATTACAGGCATGCACCACCACACCCAGCTAATTTTTTGTATTTTTAGTAGAGACAGGGTTTCTCCATGTTGGTCAGACTGGTCTTGAACTCCCGACCTCAGGTGATCCACCTGCCTCGGCCTCCCAAAATGCAAGGCTTACAGGCATGAACCACCACGTCTGGCCCATGAGCCTCATTTTTCTTAGCTATATAAGGTTAGCTCCGTGCTTGTAATCTCAACACTTTGGGTGGCTGAGGGAGGAGGATCATTTGAGGCCAAGAGTTTGAGACCAGCCTGGGTGACATAATGAGACCCTATCTCTGCCAAAATATAAAATTAGCTGGGTGTGATAGCACAGACCTATAGTCCTAGCTACACAAGAGGCTGAGGCTGGAGAATCGCTTGAGCCCAGGAGGTCAAGGCTGCAGTGAGCCAGGATTGGGTTGCTGCACTCCAGCCTGAGTGACAGAATGAGACTTTGTCTCAAAAAATAAAATAAAGGCTGGGTGCGGTGGCTCACGCCTGTACTCCCAGCACTTTGGGAGGCCGAGGCGGGCAGATCACGAGGTCAGGAGATCGAGACCATCCTGACTAACACGGTGAAGCCCCGTCTCTACTAAAACGCAAAAAATTAGCCGGGCGCAGTGGCGGGCGCTTGTAGTCCCAGCTACTTGGGAGGCTGAGGCAGGAGAATGGCGTGAACACAGGAGGTGGAGCTTGCAGTGAGCCAAGATCGCGCCACTGCACTAACAGAGCGAGACTCCGTCTCAAAAATAAATAAATAAATAAATAAATAAAATAAAAATAAAATAAATAAATAAAATAAAATATAAGCGGGGGGGTCATAATCCTGACCTTACAGAGTTGTTGTGAGGGTTAAAAGTAATATGAATTCCAGGTTGATGGCACTCAGAAATCTACACAACACTCCTGTTTTACAGACATTCAGTGCATTAATTAACAAATATTTATCGAACCCTTACTGTGTGCTGGTTTGGGCTCTGGAGAAGAGCAGGAGGGAGGTCCTTAGGTGAAGAGATACATTAATGCAGAGGGGACTGGATTCAGGACATCCATCCCTCAGGCTCTCTCAGAACAATAAGGTACTCCTTGTCCACAGTGCTTCAAATGTGTGAAACACCATCACCATGATGCTCTGGCCTGGGCAGCTGTGCCCAGGGCCCAGCCAGCTTGGCTATCAGCCCACCCCTCTCCTCCAGCTCTAGGATAAAACACACAAAGCCCTTAAGCCCCTGGCCAGAGAGCAGATTCTTTCCCCCCTCCCCAAGCCCCACTCTATTCCATGGAAGAGTAGGGACTTAGCAAAAACCAGGGGAAAAGTAGGTCACAGCAGGAGGATAGTAATCTCCCTGATGGCTGGCCAGAACAGCCAGGCCCCTGCTCCTGGTCATCCAAGCCCAGCTCTGGAAGACTTCTGGGATATACAGCCCCAGCACCATCCTTCCTAGCAGTATGCCCAGGGTAAAGGTGCCACCCTAAAATGACACACCTCCACAGTGGGGTCATTCTCAGTCCAAGCTCTTGCTGACTGTAGCACTACCCATGCTGGACTTAAAGAGCTCTATCTTTCATTCCACACCCTCCCACAAGTGCACCCTTTATATCCAGCCCTAGGATGGATGCTAGAGACACAACGAGGATTCTGACAAAAAGGACTTCCTGCCCTTGGGGAATCCACAGTGGGGAATTCTGACCTGTATCTAGACAATAACAAGCTAGTGCTATCAGTACTGAGGCAGAAGGGAATCCAGGAGCCGTGTGGACCTAGAGGAGCCTTCTGATTCAGCTTGTAGTCAGGGTTAGGGAATAGTTCCTAGAGGAGGTGATACTACAAGAGTGAGCCACTGCACCCGGCTGAGTTTTTCAATTTAGAAAGTAAAGAATAAGGCGGAACGTGGTGGCTCATGCCTGCAATCCCAGCACTTTGGGAGGCCAAGGGGGTCAGATCACCTGAGGTCAGGAGTTCGAGACCAGCCTGGCCAACATGGTGAAACCCATCTCTACTAAAAATACAAAATTAGTTGGGCATGGTGGCGGGCACCTGTAATCCCAGCTACTAGGGAGGCTGAGGCAGGAGAACTACTTGAACCCAGGAGGTGGAGGTTGCAGTGAGCCAAGATTGTGCCACTGCATTCCAGCCTGGGTGACAAGAGCAAGACTCCATCTCAAAAAAAATAAATAAATAAAAATAAAGTGGAGGGAACGATAATTTAAGTCAATGAGGAGACTATGGCAGTTCCTCTATAAACCGTGGGGTGATGGCTTGGAATAGGATCCTGACAGTGGTGGGAGAAGGCTGATCAGAAGAAGGTCCCACCCCCAGAAGGCTTCCTCCTTCCTCAGATTCTGCCTAGCTGATTTTGCTCTTCCTTTCCACCGGTATGAAGAGGGGCTCCTCGCACACCACATGCTGTCATTCCACGGCTTCCAGAAAGCCTTCTGCAGTTGTTTTGACAACACACCGCCTACCTCTTCTCAAAGAACAAGGTTGTGGAGAGCAGAGGCCAGAGGAACCCTTACAGTAACCCCAGTTTTTGCCACTTCAGGTCATATCAGGGGCTTGAATGTGGACTTCAACAGAGGCTCCCCACCTTCTAGAACAGGCCTCCTTCAGACAGACCAGAAAGCCAGAGGAAGGGACTGAGCACACAGTCTGTGCTGTGCCTTGAAGGCTGAGGTGACAGGCAGAGAGAGGAGGAGGTGAAATGGTCAGGAGCCCAGAGGCTGGGGAGGGGGTGGAGCTGAGATCAAGGGCACTTCACCAGCTCACCTGGCCCCCAGGGGCCAGGATAGAAGGGGTAGGCAGTGCTAGGAGTGCAGGGCTGAGACCCCGCCCTCCCGACCCCAAGCCAGCATAGGAAAGTAGAGGAAGACTGTGCATTCCGGCAGATCTCTGGTCTCCACTGGAGGAGCTCTTGGGACCTGCACGAAATGGAAAGCTTTGCGCTGCCACTGGGAAACCAGTGTTCGTAAGGAGGAAGATTGAGTCCCCTGTGGTGGCCCTCAGCCCCGCCCATTCCATACAAGCAAAGGATCAGTTTCTGGGAGTCCCTGGCCCCAGCCAAGCAAGGCCGCAGCCAGGAGAAAGGAAGGAGCTTAGTACAAATATAAATACCTTTAATGAAAAGCCCTGCTGCGCTCTGCAGGGCCTGGACAACCACCGCCAGGGCAGGGCTGGAGGCACAGGCACTGCCACCTGACCTGATAGGCTAGGCCAGAGGCCCCAGGAGGTAGGTCAGAGCCAGAGCAGCCGCCAGCAGTGGGGGCGCAGGGGCCATGGGGAGTGCAGGTGCTGCAGCTGGCAGTGTCTCCTGGTTGGTTTCGGAGCCTGTACCGCGCTCCCGAACATGCACCGGGGCGCTGCACAGAGTGTGCAAGTTATTCGGATGGGGGGCCCGGCGAGCTTCTTGCTGTAGTGATTCCCACACTGCAGCTGCCTCCTCCGGACAGCCCAACAGGACCCGAGAGGCACAGGCATGGAAGTCATTCCAAGATCTGTTAAGGGAGTGGGATTAGGGGGATTAGGTGAGGCAAGGAGATTTTGGTTTGGGAAATAAAAGGTTCAGTCCCCAATGGTGGCACAGGTTGGGCCACTGCCTCGCACCCGCTGGTACCTGCAGATGGTCTCCAGCTCGCCTCCGCGGCCCATGCCGTCCCCCAAGCGGATGAGACACTCGGCGAAGCCCTGGTATATGGTGTCACAGCGGTTTGGGCCCACTGCAGCTGCTGCCAGGGGAGGTACAAGGACTAGAAGTGGGGTGGGGGTGGGGGAATGGTAGATAGGATGAGCCAGGCCCGTCCCCCAGCCCCCAGGGGCTTGTTTACCTGGGAGCACTCTGGGGATGTGACTCAGCGGAAAAAGGGTGCCCTAAGGAACTAAAGGGCAAATCTGGGGATTACCTACCCAGGCCCCCTTCAAGGTAAGACCCAGACTGGGATTTGCACAGGGGGAGGGGATGTTGTGTCCCCCAAATCAGCTCTTCCTCTGAGCTTCTGGGGCCCCAGGTGGGATGAGGAGGGTTCACGTGAAGGAATCAGGATAGGGTGGAGGGGAGGGTGGTCCAGAGGCCCGGGACTAGAAACAAGTGCATCTCTCTGCGGTTTAGACAAGCTTTGCTTGGCCCTCCAAACTCTCTCTAAAGATAGGTATTTTTGGAGAGACAGGGCAGGATGCAGAGGTATTGGGATCCAGGCCAGACCCTCAGAGAGGACTTAGGGATCCTATGACCGATCTATAAGTCCTGCCATTGGCATGTCTCCCTTTATCATAAGAGGGGATGCAAATTTTGGAGTCCTTCCCCCATAACTAGGGCTGTTTGTGCCTCTCACCTTCTGTCCTGAAGTCACCAGCACACCTTCCTGGAGCCCTTGCAACTCTTCTCCACCCTGGTGCCCAGTGTTCCCACACACCCTATGCCCAGTCTGGCCTGGCTGGGCAAGAAGGGGGTGTGGCCCGGGCCCCGGACGCCCGCACTCACCGAGGGGCAGCAACAGCAACGGCCTCAGGGCACGGGGTGGTTGCCAGCAGCAGCGGCAGCGGCAGTGGCAGCGGCGCATCGTCCCTGGCTGAGAGCCTAGTGCGAGAGCTAGCAGCTTGGAGCGCAGCCCGTCCGCCCAGCCCCCGGAGGGAGGGACGGTGATTGGATGGAAGCCGGGGGTGGGGCTCCGAACCCAGCCGGCGGCTCCACCTCCAACACCCAAATGGGAAAAGGAGCGAGAAGGGACCTCAGAGAGCAGAAATTCCCAGGAGCACAGGCTGGTGCTGAGCAGGCCCCTGGACCCTCACCCCATAAAAGGAGGGAGAAGGGAGATCTGGGAAGGCAGTTGGAGCAGATGAGTGGGTAACCCCGCCCCTTGGCTGGGTTGGCCTAGACAGAGCTCCACAGGGAAGAGAGGGGCAGGGAAGGAACAGAGGGCAGTTATGAGAGTCACACCAAAGACAAGCCAAAAGCACACACATACTCCATTTTATTCCAAAAGCATTTAATTGAATTTCTCAACATTTTTCAAAAACAAAAAGATCCAAATTAGAGGTAAAAAGGAACATGGAAAATTCCACTCAAGTGGTGTCACGATCTCAGGGTCATGCTCCAGGCATGGCAGAACCCAAGCAGGCACAATACCTGCCCTGGGCCCAGCCTAAACCTTCTGACTACCACACCCTGTAGACCACGGCCAGTGCTCCCTGCTCCCTGACCCCCAAACACCCCAGAGATGGGGGCCTGAGCAGGTAAAGGCCAGCCGTGACCCTGCCTCGGCCTAGGCCTGTCTGATGGCCTTCAGTGCCATCCCACCCCTGGGCAAGGCAGGCTTAGCAGCTAAGGGAGGCTGGGGGTCACAAGACCATGCAGCATGAGGCTGAGACGCCGGGCTGCTTTGCCAAGTGAGTTGTGTGGCTCAGCCTGCAGGAACTGAAAAAGCTTTTGGCGCACCTGGGCCATAACGGAGCCCATGTGGTCCCGAGTGATGGGGTCACTGTGGTCCAGATGCATCACGGCCTCTTCCAGGTAGCTGGGGATGGGGGAAAGGACAGGCTACAGGTGGGCACCAGCAGATGGGAGCGCCCCCTGGTGGCACTGAAGCCCAGAGGAAACCCTCTGGGTGAGGGCAGAGAGGATTGGTGGAGAAAATTAGGGAGAGGATTCAGGCAGAAGTGGGTGTCAGATTCAAACTGCTCGCTCCTACTCCCCCACTCCCCAGTTCATCTCCCCATTCCTGGCTGCCCCCACTTACCTGAGCTTGAGGTCAGTTCGAGTGCCAAGGTCAGATGCCAGCTGCTGGATGAGGGAAAGGAGCACAGGCTGAGAGAGTGGGCAGGGTGGCTGCCCAAAAACCTGGGCTGGGTCTACAGTTTCACACACATACAGCACCAGGTTCAGGTCAGCAGCTGTCAGTGCCTGGAGGAGAAAAAAAGAGCAGTGTTTATAGCAAATATCAGGATGGAATGTCTGTTTATCTGAACTGTGTGGCCTGAGGGAGGAAGACAACGGGGTGCGCTAGTGAGGGCTCCAGAGGGACTCAGAGAGAGCCCCGCAGAGTTGTATAGTTACCCTAGGGGATTGGGAAATGGTTCCTGAGAAGGGTAGTTGTAAAGCAAGGTGGGCTAGGTGGGAAGGAGGGGGTCCAGGAAGAGGAAGCAGCAGGGACAATGGCCTCGAGGCCAAAGGGAACCAAGAACAGTCTGCTGGGACCAGAAGGTGCAAAGCTGGTGGGTGGAATGTATGGTGTGTGGGCCTTGTCAAGAGACACGTGACCCTTACCAGGGCCTAACACCTATCATACCTGCTGGAAGGCCTGATTGAGGTGGCCCTGCTGCAGCAGCTGCAGGATATGGGCTTGCTGGGCCTGGCAGTCAAGGTGGGCAGAGGGGACAGGTGTGCCAGCAGCTGAGCGCATGGCCTGCATGATGCTGGAGGTGACGGCGGCCTGCTGCTCCTTGAGCGCCACACTCACCTCACCCTTAACGATGCGCTGTACCTGTGCTAAAATGGACTCCTGAAGGCTGCAAAGGGAAGTGAGTGAGGTGAAGTGAACAGGGAGCCCAGTCTGGCCTTTCTCAAGCCCACCACCTTGCCCAGTACTCTGCCCACACACCTGCCTACAGCCACATGCAGCTGGTGCTGCACCTCAGCCCGAACACTGCTGGCCACGGTGGCTGCCATCTGCTCAGTGGCACTCTGCAGTGTGCTGACCAGGCCCCGCAGCTGGGCCAGCACAGGCTCCCTGGCCTCCTGTTCCCGTGCCTTCCGGCTCTTCATGTGGCTTTCTAGCTGCTGCAAGTCTGAGGGGTGACCACAGGGACTATAAGAGGAACAGAAGGAAAGAGGATAACCGCTCCCACCTTGGGCCATATGACCCCACTCACATTCCTGTGTCCCCAGTCGGAAGCTATCATTGATTTGCTGGAACATGGCCTGGCAGCTCTTCTCAAAGGCCGGCAGCACCACACTCTGGAAGGCTTCCCGGTAGGCTGCCTGCATCGGCCCCTGTAATGTGTCTGCAGCTGCTCGGGCGATGGCATCAGTCAAGTTCTGGGGTTAGAAGAGGGGGCCAAGTTGAAAACCTGAGCCTGCTGGGCGCAGTGGCTCACACCTGTAATCCTAGCACTTTGGGAGGCCGAGGCGGGCGGATCATGAGATCAGGAGATCGAGATCACCCTGGCCAACATGGTGAAATCCTGTCTCCACTAAAAATACAAAAATTAGCTGGGTGTGGTGGCGCACGCCTGTATCCCCAGCTACTTGGCAGGCTGAGGCAGGAGAATCACTTGAACCCGGAAGGCAGAGGTTGCAGTGAGCTGAGATTGCACCATTGCACTCCAGCCTGGGAGGCAGAGTGAGACTCCATCTCAAAAACAAAAACAAAAACAAAACAAAACAAAAGAAAACCTGAAAACCTGAGCCCAACCTGGCCTGACTAGGCCCAGGAACCACCACCTCCACCCACATCTTGGGCCCTATAGCACCTTGGACTTGAGCAGCTTGGAGATGTTCTCTTTCATGCTGCCCTCCACAGCTGTGAGCTTGGTAGCCACTGAGTTGCTCAGTTGGCCTGCCATAGGCTCCAGACTCCTTGAGACACCTGGCAGAGTGGAAGAGGGGGAGGTGGAGCCATGAGAAGAAGCTTGACAGGTACCCCCACTTCCACCTGAACCACCCAAAAGGAATCTGCATGCAAAACTCACATGGAGGGACTGTCTTCTTGATCTCATCCCTTATGCTGCGCTCTAGCCGCCCAGCTACAGCTGAAGACAGTGCTTGGGACAACTGTTGTGTCAGCTGCTCCTGCAGCTGCCCTCCCCGCTGCTGCCCCTCAGCCAGTGCTCGCTCCAGCCGCCGCTCTGCGCCGTAGCTAAGGAACAGGCCTGGAGCAGGTCGTGTACTCCTTCCCAGGCCAAGAATGCTGCCCCCATCCCTATGCCATGTTGTGCTACCAGTCTCAAGGATACGCTCCTGCTCGTGCCGGGTCTCAAGGGCACGTTCTACATGGCCTGTAACCGTGCTCTGCAGGCCTTCGAGTTGGGTACACAGACGCTGCAGCAGCTCTTCTTGGCTGTGCCGCAGCTCTGCCAGCTCTCTCTGCTGTTGCCAAATTAGGGCTGGCCAGTCCTCAGGGGGCTCTGGCACCTGTCAATAGCACTGACAGTCACATGATGCCTGCCCCACCCATCCCCACACACCAGACCAGGGAATGGCCCAGAGCCCTTCTCCACCCCCGCAGGGTGAAGTTTCACAAGTACAAAGTGGGCTCGTTCACTTACCTGGTGCTCTGTGAGCCGGGATCCCATGGCTGCATCCCTGCCATAGGTGAAAAGCACCTCAGGCTACGTCAGGCAGCCTGGAGACCACCCTCTCCCTCCCTAGGATTCCTCCCTACCCATCATCCTTCTTGCTTTTCCTTTTGAGCTTGGGTGAGGTTCGAGGGGATCCCTTGGTCTTCCAGTCCTTGGCAGGCAGCCGTGGAGCAGGAACTTTGGTGCCAAAGCCTCCTGAAGCAGAGGCAAGACTGGCCACCTCATCATCATGGTCACTGTGGGAAGGGGAAGGAGGAGTAAGCCTCTGCCCACTTGCTGCCCATTCCCCCATGAGGACAATGGTGTAGAGTGGCACCCACCTTTGCTCAGCACTGGCATCCTGACTGTCACGTTGCTGCAGCAGGTGATATGGTGGTCGGTGGAAGGCCAGGCTCTTGTGCTTTTCCTGAAGGCCATTCCTGGGGCTGGAAGGACAGGCCAACTCAGCAGAGGATGAATCTATCTGAAGTCCCTCCTGCTAACACACTTTTCCCCTCCCAAGCTCCTCACCTTTCTGCCAGGGTGCTGCAGGTCTCACGAGTAATGTCAGGTGCTGTGGGCCAAACCTGACTGTCAGGAGTCGAGGCCTCCTGGGTCAAGGCTGCCTCCAGGAGGGAGGGGGTACTATGCCGATCTCCGTCCCCAGGGCCTCCATCAAGGCCAAGCTGGGGGCCGAGCTCGGGCCCTGGCCGGGGCCGTGGGGACAGTAGGTGCAGTGCTGAGGCGGCTGAAGCCATACTGTCTGGCTCAAGGCCCTCTGGTGCAGAGGAGCCAAAACCACGGGACAGGGCCTCAGATGCAATCTCAGGGATGTCCTGGGACAGGGCAGTGGAAGCTGAGGAGATGACATCAGGGGAACGGGTGCGGCTAGGGGAGGCTTGGGGTAGCCCCAGGGGCTCCACTTCCTGCAGCTCCAGGGACAGTGCAGAGGCGGCAGTAGGCACCTGAGGTGGGCCAAAGATGGAGGCTTAAGTGACAGGAGGTGAGGCAGGGATGGGGGCACAGACACGAAGCATTAGTATTAGTAGTAATGAGAGACGGGGCAGCAGAGTCAAAAGGTCAAGTGGGGATACAGGTCAAAAACGAGGCCACAGCCCAGAAGAGGAGGTGGGGGCAGGGAGGCTGAGAAGACACCCACCAAGAAACACAGGAGGGTGAAATGACCTCAGGGAAACATGGACCATGTTGGGTAGAGCAGGATCAGCAGCAGGGGGGTCGGGAGGAACCCACCACCTACCTTCCCTGCTGCCGCCCACCTGCTCCCACTTCACACACACACCCATTCACACACCTGGCCCGGCCCCTTGGGAGTCAGTTTGTCGGCTGGGGCTGGGAGCAGGCCGGGCAGGAGGCCGCGTGGGCTTGCCTGCAGGCTGCCGCTGCTGCTCATTGTCAGGCTGCCATCCAGCTGCAGCTTGGGGCTCAAAGTCAGCTCCTCAGGTGGCCTGGTAGGGGAAGCTTGAGGTGTCAGCAGCCAGAGCCTGGCATCATCTGGTACCAGCCCCTGCCATCCTCCATCTCTGACCCTTGCCTCACCTAGTCAAGGAGGGGTCCACAGCTGAGGTGCTGCTCATGGCAGACACAGCTGTAAGGGAGCTGCTGCTGCTGCTGCTGCTGCTGCTGCTACCACTGCTGCTGCTGCTGGGAGAGGCAGTGATCTGGGGAGATGCAGGGAATAAGACCTGTGGCCTATGGCTGAGGCATTCCCAGGTCCCCCTACCTTGGGAGAGTACCTGCTGCAAGGAGGCGCTAGGTGTCATGAAGGCGTCAGGTGTCATCAACTTGGGCTTGGTCTCACTGCTCAGACTGAGGAAGTTGGCAGGTGCAGGCAGCTCCACGATTCGTCGGAGGTCAGGCTGGGAGCCGTGAGCGGCTGACCCCAGGCCCTCGGAGCCCAGTTCGGGCCGAGACTCTCCAAATGCTGCAGGGGAAGTTGCCACTTGAGTCAGACCTCAGACCCTGGTCAGTCCAACTTACCCTACCTCCCTCTCACGCCCTACTCACTAAAGTCCTCGTGGGCAGTGTGGGTGGGGAGTGGGGCCACCACATCAGGGTTCAGCTGTGGCTGGAAGCGGATCTGCACATCTTGCAGTGCCCTGCAGGAAAAGAAGGGGGAGAATAAAGTGCTCCAAGGGCAAGGATCAGTAGAGTGGAGACAGACACAGACAGGGCACTGATGGGCCTCCCCACTCACTCACTTAGTATGCACACAAAAGAGCTTGATGAGCACACCAGCTGCAGACTCCATGGCACCAGCTCCATGGGTACCATCTGAAAGGATAGTGTGGATGATGAAGCCCCTGGCCCTCTCTGTGCCTCCACACCCCCTAGATATATGGACACATAGCTCTGACCCTGGGGCAGCTCACCAGCACCCAGGCTGTCATTTTCCTCCTCGGCAGGCAGCACCTCAGTGTGCCGTAGCCGGCAGCGACTCACAACCTGGATACCGAAGCTCAGCACAGGGTGGGTGAGCAGGAACTCCGAGATGGAGCTGAAGCAGGCATGGCCCTCCTCCTGGTTCTGCAGCAGCTCCATCACATAGAGGACCTGCACAGGCAGAACGTTCCTAGCTGAGCTCAGAGGCTAAGGGCTGCAATGCGCCACCTGCCCCCCGGCCTTCCTCTATAATCCCAGCTCTGCCAGGGTACCCCATGGCAGCCTACCTTCCGTTGCACATCGCTGAGAATCAGGTATTCTGCTGAGAGGTCCAAGCAAACCTTGAGGCTAGGGGGCACACTCACTGAGCTGAAGATATCTGGGGAGAAGCTAGAGAGCCACAAAGCAGAGTGAATGAGGCTGAGAACTGAAGGAAGCCACATTCCCAACCCTGCTGCCCCTGCCCAGTCCCCCAGCCTTCCAACTACTCCTTACCGAATAGTCTGCAGGCAGGTCCAGGACACCGTACACCACATCTTTAGCTCTCGGTTCTGGTCAGCACCAGTAATAAGGAACCTCCAGAAAGGGACACTGCAAGGCAACAACGCACTGACTGGCTGGCTGGGCCGCCTGCTGGGAGCCATGGTCCAGCCCACCACCCACTAGGCTGCCCACTCACTCACTCAGGGTCTTGTTTCTTATGGTTGTCACAGAACAGGAGGCAGGAGAGGGGCCGCCCATCATGAGGCTTCCACTCGTGCAGACACCTGCAGGTAGGCAGATGAGGGGCCTGAGTGAGCAGTCCGGTCGGCTACCTCGGGAGGATCCTGGTCCCTGAGGCCCTGCCTTACCTTGGCTCATCTTGCCCCTCAATGTAGATCTGCCAGAACTTGACATAGCCATCATGGCTCGCAGTAGCCAGCACAGTCCCATCAGGGGAGAGGGCTCCTTCACTGAGGCACTAGAAAGAACCCAAAAAGCTTTGCTGACTAGAGGTGAGAACAAGTCCCTCCCAAGTGAGGATGGTAATGAGCTGGACTGACTCATGGTGGGACTGGCATGCTTGTGTGACTGACTGAATGAACAGGGTCCCTAGAGAAGGCCAGACCTGCAGGGTGCTGTGAGGTAAGGAGAAAACTGCACAGGCAAGGGCCACTTTGAGCTCAGAGTCCCCATGGACAGAATGCTAGTAAAGCTGCCCGGACAGCTGTGGATATAGGGAACAGAGGACGAATATGAGGAAAGAGAGGGCAGGGGAGGCAGGCAGTCACAGGCTTACCGTGCTATGACCTTTTACCACAATGAAGCCCTGCTTGATCTGGCTGACATCCACAGGCCAAGTGCTGTGGCTGGAGCGGAGCATGTCCAGGTCCCACACCTCAGCCTGGAAGGCACAGAGAGGTGAGTGTGCAGCCCATCCCCACACTATGGCTTCTCTGGCGCCTCCTCGCCATGCCAGCCCCCTCACCCGGTCTTCATGCAGCAGGGCCACCGTCGGGCTGCTCTCCTCACAGCAGTCCTCGCTCTCCTCAGGGATGAAGGGGCACCAGATGATCCTGCGAAAGTGGTTCAGTGGCGTGCCCTCTGGCTGCCGGATATGGACCAAGATCTCTTCTCTGAGCAGGGTGTTAAGGGCTAGATAGGTGAATGAAGAGGCGTGACACCCCAGCTCCGCCCACCCTTCTTCAGTCCCACCACCCACGGGAAGGAATGGATACTGAATTTTGCCATTAACCAGAGCCAAGCGCCACACGAACAGGTTGCCTGCCTCATCCAGGCAGGCCAGCTGTGGAGAGTTGAGGTGTGCAAAAGCCAGATCAGCCACACTGCCTGTGAAGCCCTTGAGCAAGGTCCGCTCCGAAGTGCTGACACTGATCACCCGCACCATGGCGGAGCCATTGTTGGCAGCTGGAATCAGGAGAGCAGTGGACCATGAGTACACATCCAGGCTCAGGCAGCAGCAGAGAAGCGCTGCCCCTGTCTGTCTCCTGCCACCACCATAGTCGCAAGCTTGGTTTTCCCACCCAGCTCCCCAAGAGGCAGCATGGACAAACCTTCCATTGTACCCCTAAGGCCTGAGTGGCCTGATGTTGGAACTGGCTCTGTTGGACGTCCAGCATAGGAGGAAGGACGTCCTTCCTCCCCACTGTCTTTACTCACCCCGAATGGCATAGGCCAAGAAGGAGTTAGACACAGCAATCAGGTTGCCATAGTAGTACTTCTGCTCCCAGTCATACTTGGCGACAGGCTGAATTTTCACCTGAGAACCCAGGGTGAGAAAAGTCACGGAACTTCCCTAGAGCCTAGGTGGCCCCCAACATCCCTGGGGATGGGAGAGGACACAGATGCAAGTCCAGCTACCCACTGTTACCTCCTGGAGCCAGACTCCCACAGAGGCTTGGCACCCAGCCCTGGCTTCCTGAAACTGGGAAAGTGTCAAGGTGGCCCCACAGGAACTGGCAGCATGAGGGAGACCAGAAAGGCTGGGTGTGCCCCTATACATTATATATGCCACAGCATCCTAGTACCTACCTTGTTGCTTCCCCGGGCCTTGCTTGAAATGCTAGAGTCACTGCTGGCCACAATCTCCACCTCCTTGGCCAAAATCCCAATGCAGGTGGAGCTATCATCTCCTGAGAGACAGCTGTGGGGAAGAGTGCAAAAACTTTGTCTCTTGTTCACCCAAAGGCTCAATGGGCAGGGACGGGAGGAAGCGAGGACATAGCCAGCCTGGTAAAGGTATCTAGTCCAATGTCAGCTTTGCCTGGTACACTGGCCCCAGACCCACAGCTCCGCTTGCTCACCTCCTTCCTTGGGAATGAGTCTACTTTCATTTTAAACCAGGTATCCAGGCCAAACCCTTGAGCTTGTCCTTGCCTCTCATCCTAGTGCAAGCTCAAGCCCCATCCCAGGTCATCTAGAGAGGAAGCAGCAGAGGCCGCTGGCCCTGCTCACTCCCCATCTCATGGCTTCAGCTAGGAAGACACCCCAAACACACCATCACCACCATTGTCGTCTCCTAGGTACTCACATGACCTGCTTCTCTTGCAGGTTAATGGGTGGCATGGTCCGAAGACCAGTCTTGTTTGTTGAGGTACCATCACCTGAGCAGAGCGGGTCTGGGACCAGAAGCCCATTGAGGTCCCCATTGTAGGCACTGGATGGCCGTGGGCTCTCTGCACTGGGGCCTGGGGACAGAGAGGGTCACTCTGATAAGGTTGCTCGACCTGCCCACAAGCTTCTCCCCTTGCAGAATTTCCTTCAAGAACTATGAGGTGTTCTAGGAACACTCAACTGAGCAAAGCATGTCCATGAGGAGGAGGGCCCTGTGTTCATCTCTCGTTCCATAAACGCTGACGTATGCAGGACCAAGGATGAGCATGAGGCTCTTCTGCCTGGGGGAGGGGTACAAGCCATCAAGGACCCTTTGAGGCCAGTTAATACTCAGGCCTGGGTTACTACAGAACTCTGTGCACTCTGAGTGAGGGCATAGGAACGGTCAGGAAAGACTTTATACAGCAGTTAGTGTGGCCAGAACACACAAACACAGGAAGGATGGAGGGAAAACAAAGCTGCAGAGGCATCAGGTATGATGCTGTGGCACTTAGACTCTTCCCTGTGGGCCATGAGAACCATAAAGAGTTTCAAAGGGGAAGGTGACGCGGTCAGTTCTGGCCAGTGGGATGATTAAGATAGCAGGCAGAATGGTTGAGAATCTGGGTGAGAGAGATCACGGCCTAGACCAATGTAGTGTCAAGATCTGGAGAGAAGATGGGCTCCTAAGGCATGGAAGGGCACTGGTAAGATGTGGAAGGGGCTGCCCCACACAGAAATGGCTCCGAAGAAGCTATCTTGGGCAAGTAAACACAGAATGCAGGGACATAAAGGAGCTGGACCAAAAGGAGAAAAACTATGGGACAGAGTGTGGAGTAACGAAAGACAGCATTTCAGTTCTTTGCAACTGGCTGGGTTTCAAACACTCTCATAGGCTCAGACACCATTTCCAAAATCCCCAAATGGCAAGGAGCCTAGGGCTCCACATTCAGGAACATAGCAAGTTTCCAGTCACAACAGTCTTTCGGTTCTTTTGGCGCGATCCTGGCTCACTGCAACCTCCACCCTCTGGGTTCAAGCAGTTCTCCTGCACCAGCCTCCCAAGTAGCTGGGATTACAGCTCAGCTAAATTTTTTTTTTTTAGATGGAGTCTCGCTCTGTTGCCCAGGCTAGAGTGCAGTGGCATGATCTCAGCTCACAGCAACCTCCGCCTCCCAGGTTCAAGGGATTCTCCTGCCTCAGCCTCCCAAGTAGCTGGGACTACAGGCACGTGCCACCATGCCCGGCTACTTTTTTTTTTATTTTTAGTAGAGATGGGGTTTCACCATCTTGACCAGGCTGGTCTCGAACTCCTGACCTTGTGATCCACGCGCCTCGGCCTCCCAAAGTGCTGGGATTACAGGCGTGAGCCACCATACCCAGCTTTTTTTTTCTTTGGAGTCTTGCTCTGTCGCCCAGGCTGGAATGCAGTGGCGCGATCTTGGCTCACTGCAAGCTCCGCCTCCCAGGTTCACACCATTCTTCTGCCTCAGCCTCCCGAGCAGCTGGGACTACAGGTGCCCGCCACCATGCCCAGCTAATTTTTTGTATGTTTAGTAGAGACGGGGTTTCACCGAGTTAGCCAGGATGGTCTCGATCTCATGACCTTGTGATCCGCCCACCTCGGCCTCCCAAAGTGCTGAGATTACAGGCGTGAGCCACTGTGCCCGGCCAATTTTTATATTTTTAGTAGAGACGAGGTTTCACCATGTTGGGAAACCATGTTGGCCAGGCTGGTCTCGAACTTCTGGCCTCAAGCAATCTACCCACCTCGGCCTCCCAAAGTGCTGGGATTATAGGCGGGAGACACCGCACCCAGCCCTCAACAGTCTGAGTTCTGACCTGGTCCTCCAGTGAGAGGAAACAAGAAAGAGCTGCTTGGCAAACAAGGGAATCAAGTGCCAATCAATAAACAAAGGAATTATAAGGAAAGCCTGCAGGCCACTTCATTCGGATCAGAGCCACTTTAGCTGTTCAGTGACAAGCTGACCACTCTTCCTTCCATGAAGGGTACCATGAGGACAACCAAAAAGCAGGCCCAGGCTGTACATGGTTGGCCATGCCAGGCTCTACCAAATATCTGCAGAGTCTAGTCTGCAAAGCAGCTGAGCAGCAGAAGAGGTCCACGCCCAACTCATGAGTGAAGAGGGCACACACTCCAGGCCTGGCACAAAGGCCCCAGTGGTCTCAGGCAGCAGATGGATTTTCTGAAAGTAGGGGTTAGCTGAATCCACCCCTAGTGAGCACCAGTGCCTGCTTCCAAAAGCAGCCAGTCTGGGCCTCCCAGCAGGTGTAAGAACAAGATCTGAGGAAACATCAGTCCTCCACTGTACACCCACACCATCATCACCGGCCACTTCAGAGATCCCTAAACCTGTCAGTAAACTAGTGCCTCCACACGTGCTATTTCCTTTTCCTAATAGGTGGCGTCTACATACATGCCTTGGGTGCCTTTCCTGACACCCAAGACCCTGTTCACATTACCAGACCTAGCCCACTCTCCCCTCTCAGACCTGCACTCTGCACTCATCAGCCTCCACCCTTCCCATGCCCATCACAGTATCGAGACACTCCTCTCTTTCAATGACAACAGTATATTACAACCCTGTTAGCTGTGTCTTGAGGAATCTTTGGGGGCAAGATTAGTTCTGAGGTATCATTAAGAGCCAAAGAGAAATATGAATGAATGGGAAGAAATTAGGGCTTGGAGATATTTGTAGCCTAATTCAGTCAGGGTGGTGCGGTCTGTGGTTTGCCTTCATCCCAGAAAGAACACGGAATTGAGGCTGGACACCTTCCTCCTGGAAATCAGTTTCAGAACGGGAGGCCTGGAGTCTTTATTCCAGAGAGAAGGGCAAGTTATGGCGGGGACCGGCGGCTCTTCAGCATCGCGCTTAAGCCTAGGCCCAGAATTCCATATACGGAGCCCAGACCAGGCCTCTGAACCATGGCGAAAGGGAAGAGAAGCTAGGCCAGTCCCAGGAACACTAGAGACCTGGGGCCAGGAAACGAGGGGCGCAGTCAATCCCCGTCCACCCTTACCCGCCAGGAGGATCCAAAGCTGGTCCTAAGGGAGCTGCGGGCCCCAAGGGCGGTTCAGACGCGCGCCGCCCTTTTGTCAGCTCGCCTGGGGCCCACCCCCGCAACCCCCGCTCACCGCCCGCGGGTCGGTCCAGCTTGAGGATGTCCCGCAGGTGCTGCGTGGCGTCCTCGATATCGATGCTCGCGCAGGAGGCCATGAGCCCAGCGGCGGGCGCCCCGCCCGCACCGCGTTCGTTCCGCCGCCGCCGCGCACCACCCACCCTCGCCCACCCGCGACGGGGCGAGACAGCAGGACGCCGGTCACTACACTCAGTCCACCCGCAGTTCGCAAACCACCGCCCGCGCAGCGTCCCCGAGCCCCGCCAACACCACCAACCGCCTCCACTTCCGGCCCCCACTAGCCGAGGCTCCCGGAACCTGTCAGGGACGGAGAAGAAAGGTTCCGGGCTGGGGGCGGAAGCCTAAACCCTTCCCGCAGCCCGTCCCCTTCGGCGGCCCCGCCCCTGTGCCCGCGAGGTCAGGGAAGTTCCACAGGGATGAGGTAAACGTCCACACACTGGGCCACCCAGAACCCTACTCGACTCAGAAGCCGCCAGGTCCCTGCCCACTCCCAGAGCATGGCTCCAATGGTCCCAGGACGGGGTCAACTCAGCCGCCCATGCTAAGGTCCTTCAGACCCCCAGAATATGCTGAATTGGCAGGTGCCTCAGGTTTCCTTTGGAGAATGGGTGGGAATAACTCAAGGCCTGAGGCGACCCTCGAGGTCATAAAACTCAGGAATTGCAAGAGCAGAGATGGCCCCACCACAATGATCAGTCATTGTTCCCTACTGTCCCCCAGCATCCCCTTGTCCCACCTGGCACCCTCAGGTTAGAAGAAAGAAACCACAGTTTACAAATTCTTCTTTATTGCAGACAGTTCAGGCACAGGTACATGGAAGAAGCTGTATTGCAGATTTTACACAAGGTGGTTTGAGGCAGCAGGCACCTACCTCTTCCCCACCCCCACTTCCCCAAATACACATCAGTCTAGAGATCATTCCTATTGAAATCTCCTGAGCATGCTGTCCTCTCAAACAGCACACCATCCAGCCCTGTGCCCAATGTCACCCGGCAATCTATGGGATCTGAAGAGGTGGGGATACAGTCCACCCGCACTGGGACGGGGAAAGGGTATCCTTTTACACGTCAGATTTAGCTGTGGTGTCCTTACCAGTTCTAAAACCCGTAACAGGGCACTGACCCAAATCTTGGGTTTGGTTCTGGCCTATCGTTGCTACGTTGCCACTAGGTTTATACCATCCAGAAGTCTGTGGGATGGGGGGCTAGATTTGTATTGGGTAAGGCGTTTGTCCCCAAAATGGAGAAGCAGAAACTGCCCTAATAGCTAAGACTCCCTGGGATTTGAAGACAGCATGAAGTCTGTATTCTGAGGAAGGGAATAGAGGCCTGGCAATGTCCTGCAGCAGTCTGAGGGGTGAGGACTCCTAAATTATGAGTCCCTCACAGACTGCCTCCTTCCACAGCTCTTGACCTATACTCCAACCCAACTGGGCCTGGCTCTGTGGGCAGTGGAGGCTGGCTCTTCGGATTACCTGCCTTTGGGTAATGATATCCAAAGCAGATGGGACAGGAGCTGAGCTGCCCTCTGCCTGGTTTGGTGTATGTGGGGCACCCTGGATATGATCCTGATCCTTCTGGGGATACAGCGGACCCCTCCCTTGATACTGCTGAGACCTCAGCCCACAGGGCCTAAATGTGATGGGCCATTTTGCCAAGGCCTCTCCAGCTTCAGCAGGATTCAGGATCATCTCTCCTGCTACTAGAGCCCTGAACCTCGCCAGAGCAGAAGTCACAGGAGGTATCAGAACTGACTGCACAGGCTTCAGTGCGAGAAGCTTCAAGTCGGACCTGAGCTCTTCCTGCCTGCTTTCTCCAGACCAGTCGCCCTGTGGAGTGGGAGAGAACTGCCCTACAGGGCTTCTGAGAGGCTAGCTGGGAGTGCTGCTTCAGCAGTTTCTCCCTGAAACAGGTATTCAGAGTTGGGGCAGAAGTGGGAGGGTGAGACATGAGACAGACAATGGGTCCGGGTGGCTTTTGATGCCCAGCCAACTAGTAAACTAATTAAAACAATTTAAACTGTTAAGAAAATTTTTGTGGTTTTATTGTATCATGAGGCATTGAAACATCTGAACAAATCAATGTCTGGGCGGTGAGGCAGCTGCTTTCTCCTTCACTTCTTTGGGTTACTAGAGCAACTTGTCAGTAGATTAAAAAAAAAAAAAAAAAAAAAAAAGGACAACCTTTTGCATTACTTAAGTCTTTCCAAGGCATGCGCTGGTACAACACAAATTTCTCCCATCAGATGCAACTAGTCTAGTGTCCAAACATCATGCACAACACCTCGGTGGCAGCAGCGCACTGCGCCCACTCCCGCCGCGGCCCTGCTCATTTGTGCATGATATTTGGAGCATCTGGAGGAGTGGGAATAGTATTGGGAAGAGGAGGGAGGAGGAAACAGCGTGAGTGCCTAGTTGAGAGGAGGTCAGCCGAAGTTGTGCAGGGCGAGCCTGAACATGTCATTGGTGCAAACCCAAGCATCGTTGATGTTCTTTAATAGGAACATCTGGTGGAACCCCATGATGGGGTCTTCATCCGCCTGTGAGGAGAGAGAAGAGGATTCAGTAAGGGGATCAAGAAACAGGAAGATAATTCAGTGGTAGGAGAATAGGGCAAAAAAATGTGGACTTTAGGATCAGGCCCTACTGTCCTGAACTCAAATCCCAGTATAGCCAAGGGGTACTTGTGAATGTGAATTGATATAATGTATGAAACAAGGCCCTGGGCACATGGAGGTCAACAATCAGCCACGCCTACTGCTATGTGTGCTTAAACTGCA